GCGGGAGGGCAGGGCTGCGGAGCCGCCAGCTGCCCCGCTGCCGGACACGGGCACGTCACCGCTGGAGCCTCTCCGGGTGGTGGCTCTGATGAGTTGTCACTCGGGGATTACACGGGCTGCACTTTCTCCTGCAGCATATTCAAATCCAGGCGAGGGACCATTTTCATGCCAGGAATAAAGCACTGCGCTTGCGATCAAGGTCAGCAGATGAAGCGGGGGCCTCATAAGCTGACGCTGCCGGCCCAGGTTCTCCCCATGTACCACACTGCCCAGGTGGGGGGGATGGCAGGGAGAAAAGCCTGCTTAAACACTGATAAGTAAATTCAAAAGCATGCTTAGTAGGGCTTTGACTCTTATCTCTTCAAACAATACAAACGAGAAGTTACCACATTTAAAGTGTTTCATGTTACCCTTTTAACATTACATTCAGTGCGCTCTCAAAAAAAAAAAAAAAAGAAAAAAACCCATGAAGTGCCCTGGTGCTACAACTTTAAAAGACACACGAGTCAAACGGGAAAAGGGAAAAGGGGGGTGGTACGGCGGCAGCATTCAGCCACAGAGGCCAGAGAGCTTGCCAGCATGGCAAACCCCAAAGCAGGGTAGGGACATGGTGCTCTGTGTTAAACATCCTTAATGCTTGCTCTGACAGTGCAAGCAGCATGAAATCATTCCACCGACACAAATTTTGGAAGCAGCTAATTTACTCCCCTTGATGCCTTTCAGAATTGTGGTTATTAAACCATGAGATTTTAACGATGGTCGCAGGCCACTCAGCTTTGCTGCTGCTGCTGCTCAGAAAATAAGTACAGGTACAGTGCAGGGGGTGGGGAGACACGTGGATTGTGCCACGACGGTACGGTGGAAGGTGCCGCTGCGTCGGGCTGGTTTCTGCCTATTGCTGGGGAGCCGGAATTGACGGGGGGGTGGACGGAGGGGCAGGACGGGACATTGCCAGGATTCGCCATGGAAGGTGGTTACAACCGGAGGGCCGTCACAGCTGGGGAGGCCCACGGGGTGTGGGGCGCTGCACCGGAGCAGCCCCCTGACTGGCATCATCAAACTAAAGGAACTGGCTCGCTAAGGAACAGGGGACTGCTCACCACACCCTGGTACTTGTAAATCAGCCCTTCCCCGTAGCCACGGACCCTTTGGGCCCGGCTCCCCACGGCTCCCCGGATGGTGCTTCGCCTGTGACTCTCACAGCCTGGGTGAGCTGCACGGGAGGGGTGAGCAGCGCTGCTGGGCTCTTTGCTGTACAAAAGGTCATTAGTGGGAGCCTGAAATGGAAAGGGCAGCGGAGAGGAGCCAACGGTGACATTTAGTGCGTTTCCGCCTGGCAAATTTTGACCAGAGAGCTGCGAGCTGGAGGGGGACGGAAGAAATCAATGCACTTCCCTGAGAGCTGCAGCTACAGCTTCGCTGCCAGCGAGCATATTTGTTCATCCATGATACGTATGTTTTCCACACAAAGTCAATACTCACCTTGGCACTTATTTTCTAAAGCCAAAAAAAAAAAAGCCACATTCTTCCACGGGGCAGGGAGCCTGCCCTCCGCTGCCGCCTCGCCCCGCGTCGATCGAGAGGGCCGAGGCCCAGCACCAGCGAGGAACAGGGAGAAGAAAAGCTCCGATGGCTTTGTGGAGCCGGCAGCTCCTCCTGGCACAGCCAGTGCCGAGGCACCGGGCCCACGGCTGCCTGAAGAGGCGGCAAAAACCC